CAGTGGCTACACAGATAGCCCAGTCTTCTTCCACACCATCCGCGATCCCAAAATCCAGGGGACAAACTGACGAGGGAACCAGCAGAGGAATTCGAAAAGATCTGACTTGACTTCAAGCAATATATAACTTGGAGGGTCTGGATTCAGTACTTCTGCAACCACACGGTGTGCAAATTTGTTGCTAGCATGTTCCCTTTGGCTTGAATGCCACATATGCGGTTATACATCCCATAAAAATGAGGCTCGTCGACGGACGTGGAGGATAATTCCAAGGTGGCTGCCAGAGCGACAGGCACAGTTGCCAGCGTTCTGGGTGGAAAGATTTCTAGGTTCAAAGCAGAGAGGATGTAGAATGCACCTCAGCGTGCAAGTATGATGGACGATGATCGATGAACAGTTATAATTGGCTTACTACTCTACAGACGTATCGAATGGCGCAATGTGAGGACAAGTGAGGGACGCAAGGACATACAGGCTAGTTATTTGTCAGCATCCGCATTTCTATCAGACTGGACGACTCCTACCCATGAGACAAATAGTTTAGTGCCGTGCAGTATTGTCTGGGGCTCAGCTTTGTCGGAATTACGCCAGCCATGGCTGATGTTGTGCACAGACCTTCTTCTCAGTGTTCCTCTTACCCCTCTCGCCCCCCCGGTGTCCGTACTGCATAACGTGGTTGTGGCCTTCAGCCCTTGCGCGATGTGTCAGCTATAAATGAAAACTCCGACCGAATTGAGCCGAGCGGCTGACACGCCCCCAGACAATACACCCAGAGTCTGACAGATTTGCCCCCAGATTGACCATTAACTAGACTTTCTGTGAACTGCGTAGCTGCCTGGTTGCAGTAGATAAGTCAAAGTCATTATCAACATTCGACCAGTTCAAAGTCGTTTTCATTTCCAAAATCTGGAGAGATGTCCGAGTCCTTATACTCGTCTTGTGCGGATGTACTCTCTGTGTGCCAGGCTGCAAAAGATGACCTTGCCGCTATCCTCGATCCCAACATGGGGTTTGCGCCTAGGCTACGACAATTGTGTCGCGACCGGTGCGTATCAAATTCCTTGTCTATAGACGTACCTCACCCGCTACCAGAATAACAGAAGCGGAGAATAGCGCGTCTTCTGACGTCTCTCAAGAGGAACTCGACATCTTACGCATGGAGGCCAATACGTGGGGCCTTCTTCAGGCTATAATTCCGTGAGTGAACGCGTCTTGCTACTGGTTCCTAACTCAAGGCAACTGTAGTGCCCGCAAAACCGAACCAGAACCACGCGTCCATCCCCGCACATTACTTGCCACAAATCCCTACACACCCACGTCAACATTAGCACAAGCAATCATGGATTCATCAGTACTCCTCACGGAACTCGTCGTAGTACGAGAATGGCTCCATGAAACTGCCCCACAACCGCAACATCCAGAAGCCACCACAGGATACTGGAAATTTACGAAACATAATGTCATGCAGGGTTTACGCACAGGCTCAGGAATAAGAGAGGGTCTGGTAAAAGAGCTAGATCCTGATGCCATGAACAGAGGTGATGGCCGATCATTGGCAGCTGATGACGCCGTGAGCCAAATAATAACTTGTTGAAGCACTGACCAACATGCAATCATTCGCAGGGATCTGAGAAAAGCCTAGCACAAGCGCTCTATTCATTTGTTCGTGCTGGCAGATTGGATGAGGCAGTTGAATTATGCAGAAAAGCACATCAACCATGGAGGGCTGCCAGTATCCGCGGTTCGCTATTATTTCAATGGCGAGCTATTGGTAAGCCAAGCTTTAGGTATGCATCCGCGCATATCTGATCTGCTGACAGCAAATGAGCAACGGAATGATGACGGCATCGATGATGCTGATGATGCGGAAGGATGGCAGGGAAACCCACGTCGAAAATTATGGAAATCAACATGCGCAAGAGCAGCCCTGAATGTGTGTTATCTAACCATTTGCGCACCATCTTTTTAACGTATCCTCCAAGCCCAACCTCCCCGATCCAGAGCGCATTCTATACGCAGCTCTCGCGCCCTGCCCGCAAACATTTAGTATCCTCAAGTCTGCATGTCGAACATGGGAAGACAATCTATGGGCGCAGATCAGTATCCTATGTGAGGAAAAACAGACCGCAGAAATGATTAAACTGGGTGGCGGCTTCTGGGATGGAGGACTGGCAGTATTAGAAAACATGCCCTCGCCTCCGTCCCAAGAGGAAGATGTGGCTGAGGAAGAAGAGTGGGAAAAGGAAGCGACATCTACGTTGGAAACCCTAGGTAGCGTTCATGTGGAGGACGGGTACGGCCCACATACACGTGTCTATTTTCCATGTGCTGACCGTCAGTAGTCCTACCGCAGACCACGCATTCCACGTTTCTCAACTGGCCATCATCCTCGATCGGACAAGTTCATTGCTAGAAACCTTTGCAGCTGGACTAAAAAATGGAAACTTTGATCCCGAATCATCAGAGTGAGCTGAACAACGTGTATTTGACACCCTCTAACGAAGCATCAGGTACCCTACGATGACGCGTTTCTTCGCCCACCTGTGCCTTTATTTGCGGATGATTGATATTACAATTCCGCCGCTCGCGACCCAAGTCATACTCGAGGCGTATCTACAAGTATTGGAAGTGAGAAATTGACCCTAGTTGTTTCTTTCCGCGCTAATCTCCTTGTCAGGCTGCAGGCCAACGAGAGTTGATCGCCATGTATGCCGGCGCGCTAGGAGACAACGCAGTCGAACGATATGCGATGTTCTTGACTTCGCTCGAGCTGACCGCGGACATAAACGAACGTCGATTAGCATTGACTCGCGCACGAGAACATGGCCTAGATGTTCACAGGGTGGCAGTCGTCACTGCCGAGCGAACAATCGATAGAGCTTTCGAGGTTGGTGGGACTTGCATTTCAAAGCTCATGTGCGTACTGAACACTACTTGCAGCTTCTACCTCAAATGAAGGGACCACTCCCTTCTGTTATTACGTTGCAAGCCACTCCCTCCGATATCGAGCTCCTTCTCCTTCGTTCCATAGAGTGGACGACATTTGAGGATGGAACGCATGATACCGCACTGGAACAGGCGACCGTCATTTTGCGGTACTTCTTAGGTAAGCTTGTTGTCGATGTTTAACTATCACGATTTAATTCATGTCTCCCAGGGGCAGGGAGAGTTTCGCTTGCAAAGAACCTGATGGAGGTGCTTCCGCGTGAACTCGCCTCCATTGACCAGCCCGAGGAACGAGCAACAGAATACCTTCACTACAGGCAGTTCTTCACGATCTGGGACAGCCTTGACCGTGTCGTGGAGTGTCAGAGTCTAGAGGTTTCGATAATGAACCGGGACACCAGGGCCGCTTGGTTAAGCGACTACAAGGGACTTATGGACCAGGCTTACGATGCCGTCGTGAAACTACTCACCTCGGATTGGATGATGCCGGACGAGACAGGAGATCGCCGTTCCCGTGAGCTAACTCGCGTTCGGCAGATATACGTCCCCGAGCTTGTACTGCGGCTACATGTCATGCTCTACGCCTCTCGAGAGCATGTCCCAGAGTAAGCATGTTTTCGTATACAGTGCTTGCAGTTCTAACACATCATGGTCAGAAATCTGAAGCGCGCATTGGAGCTCGCTAACATTGTTGCGGATTCGAGGTACAAGCTGTATGATGATTTCTTGCATCTCGATGGCCGAAGGCTTGGGGAATACCTTGACGCTGTACGCCGGGCAACGATAGCTGGCTTGGAAGGGGGCGGATCGGACCCTTTCAAGATTATTATAACTTTGTGAATCTATCTCGGAGGACAAAGTCATCCAAATGCCTACACTTACTATGTACAAGCGTACCGATCACCTTCAGACGTCGCGTGTCATTTTACAGTGAATTACAATAACAGGTGTCTGTATATTACGTTCGCCGTTGTCTTTTCCTTAGCTTCTGTAGGAAATAGTGTCCGAATGTCTCGTCTTCTCGTGACTGAATACCATCGCAGATGGCATGCTGCAGGACAGGTGGACGCCAATTGGTTCCGCGGGATCAAACATCATGCATATGACGCGATGATGTCACCAACGTGCTGATTGGGTCATCCACACAGAGATTCAATATTCAATATTCAATGTTCGACCATAGAAGTCATGATGTTTACTATATTCCTTGTCGTAGCAGGCATAGTCATCTTGATATCCCCATTCAAGGCGGCAGAGCCCTACTTCTTACCTCGCAGATCCTTCATCTTATGTGTTATAGAGACTTTCCCAGTGGCCGGTATCAGTGTCTATAGAGACTTATTTCGAGCGAGGAGACGCGTGCACTAGGAGAACAAATGTATATCTCAGTTTCTAGTAAGAACTCGTTATACGAGCTTAAGTACCTAGGAGAACAAATGTATCTAAGTCTCGTTAGTACTGTATAACGTGCGCGATGAATATAAACGGCTTACATCTCAGTTTCTACATCAGTAAAACCTCACTTTTATTTTTGGTGATGAATCCTAATTTATCCTTATTTTCTCACTTTAACCGGGTTTGAGGAGCCATTGGGGTGACATGAAAGAGACGGCGGAAAATTTGAGAAAAAGGCCACTCGCCCTCTGAATTCTACTTTATTGCTCTTAAAAGTCACTTACTAGGCATTGACCGACAAAAAAAGCAGTAATAATAGCGCAAACGGCGTCACATTGTCCAATACAAAGTACAAAACATTGGTTAAAATGGAGTAAATGGCGACGTGAAGTGTGAAAAAGTGGTCAAAATAGGAAGAAAGGGCAGTGATTGTAAGAGCGAAAATGAATGTAAAACAAAAGAATTGAAGGAGATTAAAGGATATGAAATGCGGATAATGAAACACAAAACGAGCAAACCGGGGTGATGGTGGGATAGGCAAAATGCAATGGTTTGAAGACGGGCGCCGCACAATTGGAAACTTGCAGTGAGCAGTGCAGAAATGACATCTATAGAATGATATCAGCTCGTCAATAAAGGAAAAAAAGAATCAATCTTTGTTACCACAGGATGGCGCGGATGTCAACGGCCTCTGAGCCATCATCATCAGTGCGAAAGTACTTCTGGAGGCCGACACTGCCCAATTTCTTCAGCAATTTCCGAGCCGTTAATGTTGTGGTCCTCATGTAGTCGTCTCCTTTCGCCTTGATAGCAACCACATATGATGCAGTTACTGATCCCCAGTTGTTGATGGAGAAGGCATTCTCGGTAGTGCTATCCTTGCCGGTGGCCTTGTTGAAGGTCTTCGGTGTCCGCAGCTTGCGCTTCATTTGTGCAGGACCCAGATCTAGGGTGTCCACATCAATGTCAATGGCATTGACACGGAGACGTTTGATGGCACGCTCGAGCTGTAGAATTATCAGTAATGTTACTTGAATGTACAGAGTACTTACTGAAGCTGCACAAATGCCAATAACACCAGTCATCCCGACGACAGACAGCACATATGTTTTAAGTGCGGGGACTTCAACATGCCCGAGAATGGCATGAAGATGAGCGGTTGCGAAGAGCTGCAACATGAATGGAGACCGGAAGGCTTGCATCGGGTCTAGGTTTTCCATGTCCTCATAAATGAAAGCAAAGTCCTCCAGAAGCACATCAGCAAGTGTTTCTGGATCAGTGTCAGCATTCCTAGTGAAAAAATCCATCATAATAGCCAGTCCCGTTGATCCAAAATTGCTGCGCCACTCTGCGAGACGTTGGGTGGCCTGATTGAGATTGTAACCATTAGTAATAGTGACAGAAAAAAATGCGACTTACAACGCCAAAGACAGACCCTTGAGCGGTCACCTTGTAATCAAGATCTGATTCTTCTGAATACACGACATCATAAATGGATTGGAGTGCCTTGACCAGAGGAGCGTCTAAGAATTGCCAGAGGTCATTTTGACTCCCGGCCCACAGGTAAAGTGTTGGGAGGAACTGCTTCGGCCACCGTTGATCTTGGCAATGAGGAGGGAGATGATAGTTTCAGTAGCTCGAGTGCGTCTTGTATTGCTTCTCGATCCAATAGCCAGGTGGGGCTGTGAGCGTTAGTTGCGCAGTGCTGGCATCAATGTCCTCTTCAATTTTCACCTTCTTTGCAGGTGGTTGCATCTTTGTGGTGGCCGACTGGGAGACGGCAACGGCAGTCTGTCAGAGAATATAAGTTGTGATAATCATCAATAAAATAAGCTTACCGAAGAGGTCAAACACACAGCCGTCTTCGTTGTATTGGCCATT